TTCTAGACTCGAGTCCTGGACTAGAGTTAACATTCGAATACCAAACATAGAACTCGAGCACTGGGCTCGAATCGCGGAATCGAGTCATGATTCGAATACCATATAAACCGACTCGAGTCGATTCGATCCACCAAAACAGCGACTCGGCACATCACTAGTTGTCTAGTACCCATAGTACAAGCTTTGCTTAGTTTGGGACTAGATGGCGTTGTGTGAATGTGGTAGAATATTATTATTTAATTATTATATTTCGTATATTTAGCAAACGTCTACCAAAAAGCTAAAGGAGCTTTGTTCCGACCGTCCATACACCCCTCACGCCGTTTTTGGTTTTTACTTGTGCATATCTTTCGTAGGAGATCCTAATTAATAAATAAACATAAATGTTATGTTTTATTAATACTTCGTTGATATGTAAGCAGACTGTTTCTTGGCTAATAAATTATTATTATTTTTGCATATTGATTGTAGCGTAATGTTATATATTCTATAGCCTTAATAAATAAATGAACTATCCAATTCGAGCCAGTAGTTGCTAAGATTAGTGCGTTAAACTGAACACGATGGCGTAGTGGTTTGTGTAACGGACTGCTGTTCCAAAGATCACGGGTTCGATTCAGGCTCAAGTCAAACATTTGTGTGCATGAACATTTAATGTTTGTTTTGGTCTGTGTGTTTCTATGTATAATTAGTATGTATTTACAAAATAAAAGTATATATGTATTTATATCAGTTGTCTAGTACCTATGTTACACATGTTTCAGTCTCGTTTACAAGAAAGTGATCTTATAAGGGTTTTTTTTGAGGTACGGAACCCTAAAAAAAACAAATTCTTCAGCTTTGTAATATAAGAATAGACAAATATCATAGACTAAACTCCTATGTGTCAAAATTATAAGAAAAATCACCTCTTTAAATAAAACCAGTGTTATTTACCTATTTTATGACAATGTGTGGTGGAAGTCGGCGACTAATATCAATTTCTGGTAAAACATTTGGGCCAGCGCCAGAACGCGCCGTGATCAGCTAAGACAATTATAGTTCACGTTGGATTGTGTGAAATTGTGTGACTTCTTTGACAATTGGATATTGTTGAGTAAACATTTAACTTTAAAAAATGTATTACCGACTACTATGAGCCTTTGTATTTCATAATAATTTGAATTATATAAAACCATATAAAACTGTATCCTTCATAACTTGATTTTTAACCCGTAGAGGGTATTATTCTTCAAAATAGAGTATAAATGGAAGGCATATCATTAATATTTTTAATTGCATTAATCCGTATTAGTCCGTGTGGTGACGGATTACGATTACGGAATGTCACCTATTCATCCCGTGGGTGTCGTAAGTGTCGACTAAGGGAACAAACTACGCAGGACAACAGCACTGCAAAGAGAAGGAAAACTTGTAACAAACCTTATACCAACCCGTCTGGCCAGTGTGGTATAGTAGGCCAAAACCACCTTTCTAAGGAGAGGCCTATGTCCAGCAGTGGACTATTATAGGCTGTTGATGATTGATGAATTGTATTCATGTGATTGTAGGTTTACACGATGAGATTATTTGTGTTACAATTAGAAGTCTACAATAATATCTTGGTTGAGTGCTGTTCTCCCAGTTAGGCTACAGAATAGCCTGTGTTAGGGATAAGACAGTCCTAAACCACAAAAAAAGGTGGAAATTAGTGTAGAAAGATTATCGTTGTTTTATGTGTGTGTGTGTGTGTGTGTCGGTTAATGTAGATGTGGCACAACGTGTGGCGATGTGAGAAATGCATGTGTGTTTCTGTGTTCTGTGAGTATGGCGGATGAGGGAGAGCTTCCAACCCCAGCTCTTGCAGCTTGGAGACTGTCTGTTGCGCAGTATCGGGTCGTGCGTTGTCGTGAAGGAGCAGTGGGGACGACCGATTAACCAAAGCTGGTTGCAGATGTGACCACCAGACCTTGCACCTACCGACTATTACTTTTTCCAAAATTTAGACAACTTTTTAGTGCGTAAAAAATTCAATTCCCGAGAGGCAGTATAAAATGCCTTTGAAGAGTTTGTTGCCTCCCGTTCAGCTGATTTTTACAAGAAGGGCATCAATAAACTGCCAATGCGTTGGCAAAGATGCGTCGATTGCATGGGTGATTACTTCGAATAACAGAAATAAAAAAGTTTGAAAAAATAAGTACTTTCACTTATTGCATACAAAACGGCAATTTTATAGGTAAAGACCTATTATTAGTATCATTATGGACCCTGTTTTTAACAATTACATTACATTACAAACAAGTTTAACAGTCATATCACGTTATAGCTACATTTAAAACATTTAAAGCACTATGCATTTAAGTGACTACTAACTCATAGGTACTTAAGGTTTACAGAATAGAACAGATTTTTTATTTTGCAAATATGTTATCGCGTTAATCTATACTAATATTATAAAGCTGAAGAGTTTGTTTGTTTGTTTGTTTGTTTGTTTGAACGCGCTAATCTCAGGAACTACTGGTCCGATTTGAAAAATTTTTTCAGTGTTAGATAGCCCATTTATTGAGGAAGGCTATAGGCTATATATCATCACGCTAAGACCAATAGGAGCGGAGCACCAATGAAGAATGTTTCAAAAACGGAGAAAATTTATTACTATTGAGAGACGCAGACGAAGTTGCGCGGGTCAGCTAGTATGTTATATCGTTATCGGTTATCGCGGTAAAAAATGACCTATGTCCTTCCCCACATCTTAAACTATTTAAATAGCAAATTTCATCTTAATCGGTTCAGCGGTTATTGATTCCCCATATAAACTTCCACTCCCCTTGTCACCCTTAACGGATGATCTATACCAAATTTCATTTAAATCGGTTTAGCGGTTTAACCTTGAAGAGGTGAACTTTGGTATTTATATAATACTATGGATTAGTATGGATACATAACAGGTGTTATGGATACATATGGATACATATGAATACATTAAAGCTCAGCCTGATTTTAACAATGGCGTGCAAACATTTTTTGCATTAGGCTAAGTGCATTAGGCTAAGTTCATTAAGCTAAGTGCATTAGGCTAAGTGCATTAGGCTAAGTGCATTAGGCTAAGTGCATTAGGCTAAGTGCATTAGGCTAAGTGCATTAGGCTAAGTGCTAACATGCTTTTTATATTCAAAGCATCACTAATATTAAATCGTATCATTTGATAATAAAAGTCTGGTGACAGACGGACAGACAGACAGACGGACGGACGGACAGCGGATTCTTAGTAATAGGGTCCCGTTATACCCTTTCAGTACGGAACCCTAAAAAAAATACTATTGTTTCATTATTGACTTGTATTACCTAATGTTACGATTTAATATTAGTGCAGTTTAAATATAAAAAGCATGTTAACTTAGCCTAATGCTAATACTTAAATAAGGTTATAAATTTAAATTTAACTAGCGGACCCGACAGACGTTGTCCTGTCAAATTTGACACTGCGATGGTAGCGCCGTCTGTCTGATCCAATGTAAAACATTCCAAAATCAACAACTACTAATAAATTAAAAATTAGTTAAAAAAACATTGTCCAGCGGACAAAATTGTGAATCTAAACCATTCCCAGATCCCCTTGAACACACACAAAAAATTTCATCAAAATCGGTCCAGTCGTTTGAGAGAAGTTCAGTGACATACACACTCACAGAAGAATTATATATATAAAGATAAGGCATAATAAATTGGTTTAAAAAGTTTTTCGTAAAAATGGGCCATGTTTGTGTCGGACCTCGTGCTGTTTCGGTGTTCCTAGTGCATTACTTTCAATTAGTAAACCCCGGTATTTTAGTAAACCCCGTTTAATTTTTATTGATTTTGATACCTTACTCGATAAGTTTGATTAATTTTCTTTTATTAACCTATTACTATTTTGCGCAAAAAAACCGCTCATTTTGTTTTTTTTCTTTCAAAAAGCCTTTTAAGGATACGTGGGATTTTGAGATATCCGTCTCAAACACCAATACTTTAACTGTCGAAATCCATCCAAGCCATTTGGAAGATATGAGGTAATTTAAAAAAAAAATACAAACATACATGATACGCGCGAAAAACATAACCTTTCCTTGGTAATCGGATAAAAATTAATTCAATGTAAATTATCGGTGCGGGGGCTTGGTCTTTATAGTCTGTAGCCTTTACGAGTCACAGGTACGCGACCTTGACCTGTTAGAGCTATCTATAGCTATATATAAGAAATTACTTGTCCTGACTCATTCAACAACGCAGAACCTAAACCTTAAAAATAAGCTGTTTAAATTTCAAGCTTGTAGCCCCAGCTACAAGCTTGAAATTTAGACAGCTTATTTATTTAAAATAAAAAAAAAAAAACAAAAGCCAGTTGTTTATTCTCCCGAATCAATACTACCATTGCCTACCTGTCTAATCTACCATTGCTTTCAAAATACTACTAATTTTTACATCTAATTCTTAATGCCTGTTTATTGGTGATGGATAATACTGCTACTTCTAAATCATAATCTTTATGATGAAGTGATTGTTGTTAGACTGCTATTTCACCAGAGTGACCTTTTGCGAGTCTATGTATGTATATATGATTTATGTATGAAGGCACGCGAGTATATGATTTATAAATCATGTGATTTACATATAACAAGTGATTGTGATTTTATTAAATCCCGACTCCAAAATGTGCGTTTAATACGCCTCTGACTACCTCCTTAGAGGTACAGGCGTGAGTTGATGTATTTATATTTAGGTAGATACGTCTAGTTTACACAATTACGCATACATCGCTGTAACAAAATTCAAGATAACAGGTTCATAACTGTGACTCAAAATAAGGTAAATGTCGAGGTAAATCATTTTAAAATTATTACAATGCACTATATTTATCTAACAACAGGCATATTAATAAATATAGATTAAATGTACATACATACCTACATATACTTGCATGATAAGTTATTATGACAATTTTGTATTAAAAATGTAATAAATTTGTCAAAGAAAGACAAAAGATGGTACGTTCGTGTTATGGCTTTTAATGGTGTTTGACATTAAATGTTACATATTTTACTATCACATGGCGTGGCGACTCATACTCAAACTTACAGCTGGTCTGACCCTCCGCTTTAGAAGTTTCACATCAATCCATTCGAAAAGAAAATTCCTTGTACTTTTTAAACAAACATGAATTTTGAATACATTTTGAATAAAAATAGTATTAGTGTTGCACTTCCAAGGACCTATCTAGAATAAATGTGTATGTTTTATATCAACGGAACAAATTATTGGAAATCTTCATTTTAATGTAAAAATTACAATTATCAACTAAGCGATAATTTGACTTGAATTCTCAAAGACTTTTAAAACATCTGCAGTAGTACATTCCAATTTATTTTGTTAATTAAAATCAGAAAGTTAGTTTTGGTAGTAATCCAAATTTATGTTTCATATCCATTAATAATTCATTTAATTTCTCCTTAGAATGTTAACTTGAATTATGAGTCAGTACATCTCGTAGAAATAAAAAAACCAAATACTACTAAAAAACGAAGTGATATCATTCAGGTGCCGCGTTATTATTTACGGCAACCGTGGCATCTGTCATTCGTTCGCAAACAATCCGTGTAGTATCGTAGTAGGATATTCGTGTTCACGGCGAGTGTACGTCAGTTGAAAACGTGAGTTTTTATTTATTTGTAATGTTTATTTTCACTTATAACCTAAAATTCATAATATATACGTTAAAAATTGTAATTCTAATACAGTTTTTATTTTGAAAATAATATAAAAAAGCATAGACAATGTGGAGTTTCGTTGATAAATAATTTGGTGAACGTAAATTTAAAAAAAAATAAGGTTCTTTATTATGATTTTTGTTTGCGTTTGGATTGTGGTATTTATTGATTATTGTTGCAAATTGATATTATTTGTTATTTTAACGAAATATTGTCTGTTTTGTTTTTAATAATAAAGAAAATTCAATGATAATTTAAAATTTATCAAAATAAAGTGACGATTAGTACGGCGTTTATTGTTTTTTAAAGAATATTGTCGCCTTGTCTTTGAGGGAGCTGTAGTATACAAGTATTTATTTATTTAGATTTGTAAGATTTATGTGTTGTTATAATTTATAATGTGTACTTGTGACGAATCTTGTACATTTCACTTTGGTTTTATTTAGACTGATATATTATTTTCAGTTTCGTCTGCTTATGTAGGCATCGTGAAATACTTTTTTTTTCTAGATTATTTTTCGATTCGATTTTAAAATAATATAATTAAATAAGAATTATGCAGTCGATGGCCACGGACACGTGGAATCGTATTTTTTTTATACGACTTAAAAATAAGAAGAGAGTTGACAACTAGTCTGTATTTATTTACGTCTATTAGGTACCTCAGAACTCTGTTCTTTGGGAACCAATTTGAAAAAATGATTTTTATGTTTTATATGAAAACCCGGGTATGCTTTCCGTATAGTCCCATTCCAATTTGAAAAAAAAATACACCTTTGAGTTGTTTTGTTGGTCATAGACAACCATAGATATATAAGCATAGAGTGAACAAGAGCCCAATATTGCAAAATAGGCAACGAGAGAGATGGATAATGGTTAGATCCCTCTATCTCTTTCTGGTCGAGTTCTGTGGTTGGCTGTGAAATATGAGGGGTTAATATGTAGCCAATCGCAGCTTAGCTAAACAAAAAGTTAAACAGAAACAGATGAAACTATCGAGCATCCATCGCTCCATCATGCAGGCAGCTTCACCCCATGTTCTCTCTATGCTTATATCTCTATGTGGACAACACACACACACACACAACTGTCAGTGTTGTCATAAATGTTAATATTCCCTCGTAAACTGTTTTATTGACACTTTCAAACTTTTCACAAAGGAGTGTAGAGCACCAACACCATTCACAAAAAATTCTTCTAAGACTTCTTTCAATGTTTTGTAAACACACATTATTTTATTTCCATGATAAATAGAATAATATGTATTTAAAAACGCGGGTACATCCGACCTTCACAAAAGTCGATACAAAACGTACAACAGAACAATTGCCTTAGAAAAATGGTATTTATTTGAATGATACTGAACAATTGCTTTTCACATTACACAACACCAACCTATAACAGTCCACTGCTGAACATAGGCTTCTTAGCTATAGGGTTTGTTTCAAGTTTTCCTTCTCTTTGCAGTGCTGTGTCTTGCGTAGTTTCTCCTTTAGTCGACTTTTACGACACCCACGGGATGAATAGGGGTGGTGACATTACGTATTCTAAATCCGTCACCACACGGATGAAACGGACGGACGAAAGCTAGATTGACTGATAGAGTACTTATATACATATTTTTTTCTGAATATAGGAATGGTTAGGGAATAATGTAGGCTTTAAAACGTTACTGCTTACACCTTCAGGGGTTTAAGCGTCTGTGTATGTATGTATGTATGACTCGAAATTCAGTATACGTTCGGTTTTATGATATTTAGAACTGAGTTGGCATAAAGTTTACCAATTTGCCATTTGATTTACTAATCCGCATATTTTCTGTCATTTAAACCACAACAGTGCTTTGATAACGGGTGTAAATCATTGTTGCGAAGTTCATGACCGCTATTTACGTTACTGTGAGAGTTTTAGAGAGGGTTGCTAATACTGGTGGTAGTTCAAATATTATATTGTTGGACATGACTAAATAAAATAAAAAAGTGTGTGTGTGCATTTTTTTTCATACACGGCAGAAGTGAAACTTCCGAAACAATTTTTTTTCTATATTTTTTTATCTCAGAAAAACCCTATAAAATTTTGCCCGGCCCGAGAATCGAATCCACTAAGGCAGATATCCAATAAGGCATATATCACTCAAACGAAGTCGCTTGTACCACAGCTAGTTTTAAATAAAAAGATAAAAAAAACATACTTTCAAAATATTGTATTAAAAGTAATGTGTAATGTATTCTATCTCATTCTCTCGCCGACTTAATCCTATACATTTATATGTTTGTTTATTTATTATTATTTCAAATCACAACGATTCTAAAGAAGTTTTACTTCAACAAAAATTGTAAGACTAAAGGAAAATTAAGAAAAGCAAAATACATATATGGTACTTCATCTACATAAAAAAACACTTAGGGGAGAGTAACCAATATTTAATTTGGTTTAATTAAATTGGACCACTTATGTATTTCTACCAAAATGACACTATTGGCATAAAAAGGAACGCTACAAAATGGCGGAGTATTAGTGGCGCTGCTAGCGCTCCTGTTTTTGTTGCTAGTGTAAAAAAATAGTGCCATTTTGGTATAAATACAGAAGTGGTCTAATTTAAGTGCCGGTTCAACATTGGTTACTCTCCCCTACATGTATAGTTTTCTCTCTGCCGGCTACCTATGTACACTGAGAGGTGTGAGGTTATTATGTTTATTCTACTTCTGTCTCCAGAACAGACATACAGACATCCTTTTATAAGACCTGGACTTCGCCTTATCATGAGCCTATCGCAGTCCACTGCTGGACATCTCCCATTGCACGCCAATTCGTTTGATTTTCGGCTTCTCTCATCCAATGCGAGGAGATCGCTTGGCAGTCGAATTTCGTAAATATACGTCGTCAATACCTTCAAATAGAAGATAATATGTTTTAAAAGCATTTTCTGTTCTTTTGTAAAGTATCAAGCTTTAAGGCACTATTTTTTGTTTGAATCAGACTTGACCCTGGCAGTTTAATGATATTCACGACAAGAGCAGCAAATATAAATAAAACTATCACAGCCTTACCAGTTAAAATACAATAATTGAGCAAAGTAAGAGAGTTGCAGACGTTCATGGGCGGCGACAGTCACTTTCCATCAGGTGACCCGTCTGCTCGTCTGCCCCCTCTAACATAAAAAAAGCAAGTTATAAATTTAATGTAAAAATCTAAATTCTAATATTATGAAGCTTAAGAGTACGTGTGGTGACGGATTAAGAATACAGTGTCTCTAAGAGCCGACTTAAGGAGTAAACTACGCAGGACAACGCAGTACCGCAAAGAGAAGGAAAACTTGAAACAAACCTTATACCAACCCGTCTGGCCAGCGTGGTATAGTAGGCCAAAACCTCCTTTCTAAGGAGAGGCCTATGTCCAGTAGTGGACTAGTGAAGGCTGTTGATGACTGATGATGAGGCTTGAGTTTGTTTGTTTGCTTGAACGTAATTCTTTTAGTGAATGCTGTAGGCTATATAACATCGTGCTATGAAAGATATTGTAAAAACGGACAGAAGAGAGACACAGGCGAAGATGCGCGGGTCAGCGGTCAGTTATTGTATAAATTCCATTGAAAATCACTTATATGAATCTGTTTAAATCTAAATTCAGATAGTTTATTTCATAAAATTGTTAACGAATTACTGAAAATCATCCTATGTCCTTGTTTTAATCGACTTTAAAGTAGGAAGTTCTAAATTTGATTGTGTTTTGTTTTTTTTTTATTTTTGTTTCTTTAGAACTCCGTTGTTTATGAACCGATTTGTAAAGTTCTGTTTTAATTTGGGAAGGTATACCTATTTACTATTTAAATTCGAAGGAAAAATACCTAAGGGTAGAAAATTAAGAAATTAAGGGCACAGTTTAATAGAGGCATTTTTAAGTGTAAACTTCTTTAGGCGCGTTGGACATTTTTGAACAACAAACAAAAGAATGTATTTTTTTATGGTTAAACAAAAAACTCATTTTTTTTTAAATGGGAAAAAAACTATTGAATTTGCGAACCTGTTGCCCTTACCGTTGCCGACACCTCTGTTAAGTGAAAACTTTAGGTGCGTTAGACATTTTTGAGATGAGAAAAACAATTAAACTCGCGACATTGTTACCGTTACCGACACCTCTGTATATAAGTTTTCACTTCTGTTGGCACTCCCGGAGTGCAGCTGTTTTTTTTTAATTGAAATTATAGATAAACACACGCAGACACAGAAACAACAAACTGCCTGGTCAATTTAATAAAACAAAAAATAGGAAACAAATCTATATCTATACAAATAAATAAAATTGGAGTGTCTGTTTGTAATATTAAAATAACCGCTTTTTACTAAATGCATATGTATGTTTACACGGTACATATACCAAAATAACATAACAATATGTATGTATTTAGAAATATTTAAAAGTATGTTTATCAGCAGTCTGGTTACCATAGCACAGGCTCTGCTTAGTTTGGGATCAGACGGTCGTGTGTTAAATGTGTGAGGTTATTATTCTTATTTTAAAAAAGCCCGTAGAATTGACATTTTCATGTAATAGAAGAAACAAATTTATACGGTATTTACTTGAGCTGTATTCGTCTTGACTATCTTAGGCCTATGAAATCTAATTCCGTTGCCTCAGACGTTGGCTTGGCGCCAATTCTACACCCCATGTTGATGTCATCGCGGCATTCTTCGCCCTTAGAGGGTGGCTCGAGCTATTCACAGACGTGATTTAATTTAGAAGTGTTACCATTTTTTTTTAGCGTTTGTGTCGTTTCAAAATATTAACGTCAGGTTCTGAGTAAATGCGTTTTTTATAACGTTAAGAGCAAACGAACAGAAGGCCAATAATCGTAATAAAAAAATCAGTTCAAATCATAGTAAAGTATTAAACATTCAACGTTGACTGTAATGTCATCATCATCAACACCCTTTAACAGTCCA